TTTTTCAGGACAAACTAATATTCTTTAATAATAAAATAGGTGTGGTCTCTAGTATGAATAAATGCCTGGTGAGCGAGATCGATGAGGGGGCGGGGGACACGACAGGATTTGGAGACTTACTATTTAATATTCATGAAATTCAAACACCTCATCTCTGATTGGCTAAAAGCAACACAATCTTCCGCTGCCTCCTCGCTCTGCAAAGCTGTTTTATCTCCACAAATAACCTGTAGGAATTCTGCTGTGAGGTGGAGTTGCTAATGCTAACGGTTAGCTTCTACTAGTCACGGCGCTCTCTGTTTTCTGGATGCTAAACTAACAACAGCCTTCCCCATTGTGAGCCAAGATGGGTTAGTCCATGAATGCTTATTTACAATGTGACGTAGATCTGTGTGGGTTTTTTCTGATCCGTCTATTAAACTGTTTCTAAACTGTGAACCAGTCAGTGGCCTAGAGGAAGAGTGTCCGCCATATGTACTGGGAGATCGGGGTTCAAATCCCGGTATGGGTCATTCCAGACTTAGAAAAGATGGGACCCAATGTCTCCTCACTTGACAATCAGCATTAAGGGTTGGATTGGTGGTTTAAACCCTCAAATGGTTCCCGGGCGCAGCAGTGTCTGCAGCTCATCACTCCTCCAAGGGATGGGTGAAACGCAGAGAACAACTAGTGGGACTTTAAATTCTAAGTGAATGAGACCTTTACGTAAACACGTCCATCCATCCATCCATCCATCCATCCATCCATCCATCCATTTTCATCCGCAGGTAGCAGGGGCAGTAGCCTAGGTCAAGAGGCCCAGACTTCCCTCTCCCCAGCCACTTGGGCCAGCTCCTCCGGGGAAATCCCAAGGCCAGGTGAGAGACATAGTCCCTCCAGCATGTCCTGGGTCTACCTTTAGGCCTCCTCCCAGTTGGATGTGCCCGGAAAACCTCACCAGGGAGGCGTCCAGGAGGCATCCTGACCAGATGCCCGAGCCACCTCAACTGTCTCCTCTCGATGTTATTAAAAAGTAAATTGTAATATGTTTCCTTTAACCTTTGTTACACGGATCAGGTTGTTTGTGTGTCAAGAAAACCAAACTGGCTGTGACCTCGCTCGGTGCGGGGATACGAGACGTCTTTTGTCAAAATAAAAGCAGCGCTAAGCTGATGGAGGACATGGAAATGGAATCTTACTTCAAAATAAAAGTCCCAATTCCAGAGATGAAAATGGGTGTGTGAATAATGGATGAGAGATGGGAGTTGGATGACAAGCAGAGCTGTTCTGTCTCACAGTGATCTCTGCTCCACATATCAGCGCTCATTAAAACTATGGTGTGTCAGAGCTGTAAACTAGAACAAGCACAGATGGATGGAGAACAGAGAAAGGCTCAGCTCTGGCGGCTGGATAGATCTATATTGTTTCTAATACGTTGAAAAGGGATGGGACGTATTGCTTTATCCTGTCATAGAAATAATGCATTTCATGATTTTTGCACAGTCCAAAAAGTGCTTTCATGAAGGACGTTCCTTACAGTCAGACTGATAGCAACAGGAAAAGAGAGGGTGTTATCTCAGAGGGAGGGAGTGAGGCAGTGAGGTGGGTTATTTTTATTATCTCCTTAGGGTTCTTCTGGGTTCCTTTTATCTTTCCTCCTCAGTCTGTTGTTCTGCTTTCCCTTCCGTGGTTCTTTGTTTAGGATTCCTTTATGCACAAACAAACTAAAACTCTGGAGGGTCTAAATCACGGACAGAGAGCTGAAGAACCAACGAAGTATCAAAGGAGTACGAAGGGGAATAATAACCGTTCTTAATTTCAGCTCAAAAGAGATTCGGGGAGCTTCGGAGAAGCTGGAAGTTCAGCCACAGACTGGAGTTTTCTCCTCCTTCCTCCATCATTCCCATCCCTCCTCCATCACCTCCAGCTGAGGTGAGAAGCACCAAATGGAGGGATTACCAAAAGCCCCTCAAAGTGGCTCAACAGACCAAAGCCCAAAGCTCATACTGGCCGTGATGAGGGTCTGGATCTAGTTCATGACCTTTAACACCCGGGGGCCCAGTGGCTATTTGGCTTTGATTAGTTTTGGTCCTGTGTTAAATAAGTTATGAGTTATCAGGGGCGTACCATCTGAAGCAAAAACAATCCTCAATCTTTCATGAGAGGAGAGAAAAGACAAATATTATCTTGTAAAATAAAAGTAACAGAATCTGGAGCAGATTACAGATTATAGCAGTAGGGGATGAAGCTTTGTGGTTTGAAAGGAATAACATACAAACATGCTTTTGATTTTGCAACTTGAATGGTTTTCATATTTAGTCATTTTCATTGCATATTTTCTTTTTACTTTCATTTCTTTCACATTGCTGTTTTCACTAAAACTCACCGGGTCTTGTTACCTTTTAGTTTTTTACTTACGTTATCTTTTTTTTTTTTTACTTTAGGGAAATAAAGTCACAGCATTTCTATTGTGTGCATTTCTTGTACAAAGTAAAGTGAAACTGAACTGAAAACATTGCGAAATAATTGTGTTTGAGCACGTGTAAAATGCAGAGACAGCAGTGGCTCAGGACGGCTCTGATTGGACCGTCCGGTTGTGTCTCACCGGACCACCGAACTCATTTACCTGGATTCTCAACACATTCTCACTCCCAGCACGTCAAAAACAAACGCTTGGTCAGCCACCCTCCGCGTCAGACCCCTGACGCCAAAAGTGCCCTTTTTCGTCACTTATGTGCGAAAAGGGGTTTTTCCCTTTTGTAACTGCAGATCCCAGTGCAGCGTAAAACTGACGTGATGGGATATCCGCTGATGCGGCACCGAACCAGCTCATTTAACCGCACCTAAACCTTAACGTTTCACTATTTATAACCTTCCCCTCACCCTAACCTTAACCCTCTGGCTACCTAAAACGTTACTCTCACTGTGATCAAGCGTTTGTTTCCCCTGCATTCTGACTGTGAATTTTCGTATTTGCCGCCCAAGGGGAACGTTAGAACATACCATCTGGCGAGGGGGAGGTTACAAATACCCTCTACTTTTAACCTCCACCGTGGTAGTTGAAACCTCCCCCTCGCGTTGGCTCGGTCCAAACCTGACCAATGACGAGGCGGCTCCCGCCGTTCACTTCATAGAGCCGGCTTTTAGAGCGATCGACACATCACTAACGTGTTAGCTAGCAAGATGGTTAAGGTTAGGATAGGGGTGAGGGGAAAGTTAAATAAGAGGATAAGGTTAGGGTGAGGTACAGTGAGCTTGTTTGGTGCCCTGGCTGCGGACATCCCATCATGTCAGTTTTACGCTGCATTGGGATCTGCAGTCAGAAAAAGGAAAAACCCCTTTTCGCACATAAGTAACGAAAAAGGGCACTTTTGGCGTCAGGGGTCTGAGGCGGAGGGTGGCTGACCAAGCGTTTGCTTTTGACGCGCTGGGAGTGAGAATGTGTTGGGATTCTTCACGCAAAAGACACTCATGTATTTAGCAACAGAACACCACTGGTGAGAGGTTCTCCGCTCAATAATATCAGAGGAGAAACAGCTGGCTGCTACCACTTCAACTTTAGGACCAACTACTAGAGTCCCAAAGAGAAAAACACCATTTGAAGTCACAGACAATAAAAGTTGTATGGACCTAGAAAACGGCGACTGGTGTTTAGCGCTCTCTCACTTCATCTGGCATTGTGGGTATCCGGTTCCGGCAGGATACACGAGGGGAGGGTGAGTGTTCCGTGACCGTGTTTGCGTTCAAAACCTAGCTCATGGGTAGGGAAACCCTGGTCCTGGAGAGCCACTATCCAGCACATTTTAGAGGTCGCCCTGCCTTATAACACCTGGCTTTAATCAGCAGGTGATTAAAAGGCTTCTGCAGAGCCTGATGAGCAGTTGAACAGATGATTCAACTTTGTTGAAGCAGGGCGACGTCTAAAACGTGCTGGATAGTGGCTCTCCAGGACCAGGGTTCCCTACCCCTGACCTAGCTTGTTCTGCAGACTCACCATAACAGCTTTAATGTTAAATGTTAACCCTCTCAGGCTCAAATAAGTTTTGATAAGAGGACGAACAACTAAGTCCTTCAAGGGTACTTTTGAGTTAAAAAAATGCTCATGAAATACGTATGTGGAGTAACCAGGAAGGTTGGTTTTAACATTGCAAATCTGCAACGCCTGCCTCCAGAGGGTTAAGTGCTTAGTGGCCAAACTGCAATAAAGTGCAGAAAAAGCTGCAAAATGACAAAAATTGAATTATAAAATGTCTTGGTCACCCAACATTTTGTAAATGTAATAATTATACTTTGGCACCTTGCAGGAATCATTTGGAGCTTTTTTTAATTCATTTGTTTGAAATAAAATATTAGGTTTCTAATGGCACTTAAACTGGCAGAAAACACCAAACAAAACAAGAGCATAAGTTTTTGTTACCGTCAGAAGAGAGGAGGGGATAAAAGGTGTAAAATCTCACATTAAAAAATAGATTTTTATTTGTTTTCGTTGGCGTTTTGTTGTCATTGTTTCATTGTCAACCCTCAGAAAGGAGAATTCCTGATGAGGCTTTGGGCCCAGCTCTCTCCATCTGCAGAACTTCACACTACATTTTTACAGTGAGAATGCTGGGAGCAACAGAGAATCAAAAGGCAGTTTTAATTTGTTCCAGTGAGCATGAATAAAACATGCTGACTTCAAATGCAAAAACAAAAAATCTAAATTATAAAACTGAATTGAGTGTTTCCAGATCTTTCTCACCGACTCAGGAAGAGAAGCCCAGTCAGACATTTCTGAGTGAATCTGATTGAAGAGATGGTTAATCTCATTAAATCAACCAAAGTAACATTTGTTTTTGCACATGCTTCCTCTCTGAGGCAACGTTTCATCAGCATGATGCAGAACTTTGAGCCTTTAATCTTTAAGTAAACCTCTTCAGAGTGAACTCATAAAACAGAATGTTTATTTTGAGTTCTCTTTTGGATATTTTATAGAAACAGGAGAAGCAGGAGAAACCAGCGAGAAAACAAGTGCAGATCTCTACCTGATCCTATCACTTCCTCTATTTTGACACAAGACGGGTCGATTTCTTTGGCGAATTCCCGGACTGCCTCGTTGGGGTCTTCGTAGGTAAAAGGGTCGATGTAGATCTTGACCCCTGGTGAACTTCGGCCCTCAGAGAGAGTGGGAAAGGTCACGGTGGGGGTGGGACCACTGAACATGTCTGGTCTGAGCATGACTTCTAAAGAGAAAGTTTAATAAATGAGCACTTTTGCAGAGATCAGTGGAATTATGTTAGGAATGACAAAGTAAAGGTTGTTTCTGAACCTCCTGTGTTGTACTGCTGCAGCTTGTCACCAAACACACTCTCCTTCAGCTGCCTCCTTCTGCAGAAAGAAATTCAATAAAGATACAAAGAAAACATGAGTTTTACACAAAAGCTCAAACTGTTGTCTGAATAAAATGCAAATAGGTTTTTCAGACTATTTTAAATGTACTTAAAATGTAGTATTAGGGATTTTTTTACACCTCTTGTTTAAAGGGGACATATTATGACTCTTGTTAACTTATAATATTCCTGAAACCAATAGCAAACATGTATACGAAGTAATTTGCACTATATCCATCTCACATAAAGTGATTTCAGCAGTTTTATTCTTGACATTTTCAGTACATTCCAGAATGAGTCGTTTAGGGGCTCTAACGAAGGCGAAAGGTGCCGAACACCCGTTTGATCAATGCATTTGCAGTGGTTTCCATTAGGAATGAATGCCTCACAAGTTGTACTCTGAGAAAAAAAAACACACCAGTGCACAATTTCCATGAACTAGAAGTGAGCCACATCACAGCTGAGCTTCAGACGCAAGGATTTGGAGTCTTTTTTTCCTGATATTTGGACACTTCCCCTCTGAATGGATAACAGCAACACAACTCTACCACTAACTCCAATGTTGATGTTTTATCTCAACAAAAAACAGATGACAAATAACACAAGCCTGAAGGAGTTGTTCCATGTGGTGGAGTTGATAATGCTAACGGTTAGCTTCTACTCTCTGACATATCAAAATGGATGAAATCCCACCATCTCCAACCCAACCTCTCTAAAACTGAACTACTTGTCACCATCCATACAGCACAATATCTCAGTCCAAAATGACTTCCTATCTCTGGCTCCTTCAAAGGCAGTTCGAAATCTGGGTGTTGTGATTGATGAACACCTGACCTTTAAAGATCATATTGCCTCTGTTGCTCGTTCATGCCACTTTGCACTGTATAACATACGAAAGATCAGACCATACCAAACACAACTTGCCACCCAGCTCCTGGTGCAATCTACTCTCATCTCCCGCCTCGATTACTGCAATGCCCTTCTAACTGGTCCTCCAGGCTGTACTGTGAGACCTCTTCAAATGGTCCAGATCGCAGCGGTGCGTCTGGTCTTCAATCAGCCAAAAAGAGCACACGTCACCCCTCTGTTCATTGAGCTCCACTAGCTACCGCTAGCAGCACACATCTAATTCTAATAGCTAGCACTAGCATACAAAGTCCGAGATGGTACGGCTCCCATCTACCTGAATCCTCTTGCAAAGGCTTACGTCTCGGCCCGGCCGCTCCGGTCATCACAGGATCGTCGGCTAGCAGTGCCTACACCACGCTCAGGACAATCCAGACTCTTCTCATGCATCGTTCCACAAATGTGGAATGACCTGTGTTTTCAGACACACCACTTTTGTACCTGAACTTGTCCTTTCGGCTGCCTTCACACAGCAGGGAAAAGTTCCAGATGTCTGAGGGGGAGGGGGTGGGAAGGCTGTACCTAGATAGTGCGGCGGGCGTACATGCGTCATTTACCCAAACAGAGCCATTCAGTCAAACATGGCTGACGAAGAGATATAATTCCTCTCACTGATCTGACTTATGTTAAGCATAATTCTGCGCACACGAAGACGCATAAGAGACCTGGATGATGAAGCTCAATGATTAAAGGAATCACGGAAGCGGTGTGATGCGCTCCGTCGCACGTCTAGGAGACGGTACCGTAGGAGGCGGGCTGCCATGGTTCGCCGCATGCTACAGGAGCGAGCTATCTAGGTGCACACAGCGTCCCCCGGTCCTCTCCTCCTCCCCCTCCACCCTGTCCGGAACTCGACCTCACCAGTCTGAAGCAGCCATCTTGTCCGTGACAAGTCCGGACCTGTTACTAGGGGCATCGTCCAGTTTAATTACGGAAAAGGTTATCCGGATGTTTGTATTCAGACACAAAGGTCTTACGGACAGTGTCCTGAACATTTCCATTTTTCATGGCCTGTCTGAAGGGGGCTCAAGTGGATGGGATGTGATGTACGGTGATTGAATGGTGTGTGTTTATCAGAACCTTGTATCTAGAAGAACGGAGTTCTGGGTGTGAAAAGAATTTGGTTTGCATTAAACTATGAAGTTAGTTCTTATCAAAAAGGCATCAGATGCAATCATGTGTGTCTACCTCACCCTTTCTTTGGAGACCCTCTTCGCGGATCTGGAGGTCAGGGAGGTCGGATGACCTCTGGGCACCAAGGTTCAGTAAATTAACCGCAGTACCGATGCTCCAGTCCAGAGATGTCGCCGGACACACAGGATGGAACGAGTTTGCATCTAGAGCAGCTGTTTCTGAATAGCTGAAGGAACCGTTTTGCTGTGTCAGCTGTAGGCAGCTTTTAGCTTGTCGAAAGCTTGTCAAGAGATGCGGTGGCTAGAGAGTTTTCCTCCGATGGCCAGTCAGAGTTAGCTCAACTAACAGGATGCTGAATCTTATAGAATGCTGGATTACTCCCCAGTGATTCTGTTTTAATATTCTCTTATTATGATTTACTTCACCAATCGGGACGTGCCATGTTAAGGGGTGTTAACAACAAACCCTCAGAGCATCACACCTTCTTTCAGATACAGGATGCTCTGATTTGTGGCTAAGAAAATATCTATGTGCAGTGACGTCACTTTAACTTTAATTTATCTCTAATGAACATTATGTCTGAGTGTAGACAATGATTCACTTGTTAAACCAAACATTACTGATCATCATAATAATATTCATTTCAACTTCAGTAATTCAAGCACAGATTAATCAACTTTATTAATTTAAGCACAGATTAATCAACCTTATTAATTTAAGCACAGATTAATCAAACATTATTATTATTCATCAACCATTATTGTTCATTCAACCGTATGATTATTTACTATTTAACGGTTCAGTCCTTTATTCTATGCAGGACAGCCTAGATAAGCAGACAGGCTTGGCAGAGAAGAACCTTAAGAAGGAAACATGATGTTGACAATACGTTATCATGTGTTCAGAGCTGCAGAACCTTCTGCGGTTGTTGGAAATAAGAATGTAAAATCCACGTTAGAGAATGGAATTAATGTCTGTAGATTACCGGTGGCATCTGTCGGTGAAAACTGACCATTCCTGGTCGTTACATAAACTATGCTCAAAATGCAAATTCCTGCCTGTCTCAAAAGTTAAAAGTAACAGCGCTGCTGCTGTCTGTGTCCAGCTGCAGCTGAATTCTGCTCAGCAGATCAGCTTCAGCAACTACGTGAAGTTGGTCCTCCAGTCCACCCACATCAGAAATTCAGCACTAACCACTCTATTTGCATTGATGCTACTACGAACGACGACTTTTAAATATATCTGTGACATTAACACATTTCTTATACGTGTGCTTCCTGAAAAAGCCATGCTTTGGGCCAGATAAATGAGACAAATGACAGTTTTAACGGGATTTATCTGAACAAGTTTATGGTTTTAAGGTCAGTGTGTCAGGATTATTGTCTCTGCTCCCTGGTTCCCAACAACGGGTCACATTCCTGCTTTTTAACCCAACAGCATCACAGTTTAAGCCCATCTAGATGTTAATAAGCATCAATGTTGATGCTCAAGAGCAGAACTGGGTTATTTATATTAATTCTGTGTGTCATGAGGTGCACAGGTGAGTTGAGCCGGAGGGTGAGGACCCAAATGCAGGGGAAGAAGCAGGCAGACAGGAAACTTAAGGGTTTTAATGACACGGAGCATGCAGGACCTAGAAACAATGAACCAACAAGACACACAGAACTGAGAGGGTTTAAGTACATGAGGAGCTGGGACCTTGGGTGATTGGGAGACGAGAGGCAGGTGGGAGCAATTAACATGGACACAGGACTGAACAGAATGGGGAGACAGGACAGAGTGTGACACCGTGGGCTCGTGTAAACTCACAACACTGTAGTTTATGGAAGAACATTACTGCCTTTAAGTAGGTGGACTTTGCCAAAATATACATTTAAAGATACAAAGATGGAGGTCTGACAACCGAAATAATAAATTAAACAAACATTTCTTTATTTCTGTATAAATATTGTAAACAACACTCTGTGTGCTCCCTAAGAGTCCATTCTGTTAAGGAAAGAAAATCAAACATTTATTTCGTGAAAATCTACAGAATGATGCACAGAGCTGCATCAATACATTATATATAATATAGAGATCATCAATAAAGTAAAAAAAAAAAACAAGTACCAGTTTGGGGATTTTTACTGGACTAAATCTGAGGCAGCTTAGATTGTGTCCCATGGCCCTAAAATAAATTATGTTGGTATGAAACTCACTCCAGTAGCTCATAGTACAAGTCTGACCTATAAATTCATTTGTTAGAGGATTGTTTATTTTTTTAGAAAACTAAAAACAAAAACTTTAGTCGACTAAAACTAAGAAAAAAAACAACAACACTGTTTAGGTACAGAAACTCTGAATGTCCCTGAATCCTGATCATAAACAGAGAAAGCTTACATTTTCAGTTTCTGAGACATTAAAAACAAATCTAATTTTTTTTTTATAAAAAACTAGTGAAGAGGAACTTCATATTAGCTTCAAATTTTTTTTATTTTCATACAAATCAAAATTGGTTGTCAAGTTGATCTCTATGTATAGAAGACTGCAACTTAAATATTCTCTTTTTATGGAAATACCATACTCTATGACAATAGCTGCAGCACAAATACAATATAAAACCAGGAATAAGCTGGATTAATATATGTATTGATCATGAGGTAAACGCTTCAATGGACAGAAACTGGAATAATAACCTATAATGATAAATAAATGATAAATAATCCGCACTTGTATAGCGCCTCTCAGAGTAAGGACTCCAAAGCGCTTTACACTACAGTGTATCATTCATCCATTCACACACACACATTCACACACTGATGGTGATGAGCTACGATGTTGCCACAGCTGCCCTGGGGCGCACTGACAGAGGCGAGGCTGCCGAGCACAGGCGCCACTGGTCCCTCCAACCACCACCAGCAGGTAGGGTGGGTTAAGTGTCTTGCCCAAGGACACAACAGCAGAATTCTCTGTCCGGAGCCGGGATTGAACCTGCAACCTTCTGATTACTAGACAACCCCCTCAACCTGCTGAGCTACTGCTGCCCCAATAATAATGTGAAGAAGGACCGTAAACAGCAAAGACAGTAAAGAGCAAGGCTTTAGCAACATCTTGGTGAATGCTTAATGGTCAGAAATGATCAGCACTTGTAATCGATAAAGAAGGGTCCAATAACCACCAGCAGCAGATACAACTAGAGCAAGATGGATGACGACCAGAGCAAACTCGATGATTGTTAAAATGAACCGGACAAGCTTTGACACAGAACTGTGAAGGAACGAGGTAAATAGGCCAACCAGGTTAAAAAAATGCAGCCTTCTAGAAAGGGGACCTCCTGGGAGTATTTAGAAGCTGGAAACACCTGTTATCAAACAGAAAATAAAACTAAAGTCTCAGACTTCAGTGACCTAAACACCTGGAGGGAAGCCTGGCATAAACAAGAAATCCGTGGCTCACATGGAACATTAAAGGGTCTGTATCATACTATTATACACCTTCCAGAGTAACGGTAGAAACAATATATGATCAAATATTACTGTTCACATTATTAAGATGCTATTTTTTATAAACCTATTTTTTTTGTTTCGTGAGCAACTCCTTCAAAGTGGAAATAAGACACTTGGACTTGATGAAACCATGCCTCCCCCCATGTAACTTCCACAATAGTACACAGCTGCACACGCGGAGACCACAGATTCACACACACACACGCACGCACGCACGCACGCACGCACGCACGCACGCACGCACACACACACACACACACACACACACACACACACACACACACACACACACACACACACACACACAGCAGATCGTGATGACGCAGCAACAATTCCATCCAAAGATAAAACTACTTTTACTTTTTTACATCTCCTCTCCATTGTCCTGCTGGGGGGGACTTCAATGCTCACGTGGGCAATGACAGCTTGACAGGGAGGGGTGTGATTGGGAGGAACGGCCCGTCTGATCTGAACTCGAGTGGTGTTTCGTTATTGGACTTCTGTGCAAGCCGCAGTTTGGCCATAACGAACACCATGTTCAAACATAAGGATGCCCATCAGTACACTTGGTACCAGGACAGCCTAGGTCGCAGGTCGATCATCTGACCTGCGGCTGTATGTTTTGGACACCCGAGTGAAGAGAGGAGCGGAGCTGTCAACTGATCACCACCTGGTGGTGAGTTGGATCAGATGGCAGGGGAAGATGCCGCGTAGACCTGGCAGACCCAAACGCATAGTGAGGGTCTGCTGGGAACACCTGGCAGAAGAACCTGTTTAGACGGTCTTCAACTCCCACCTCCGGAAGAGCTTTGACCGGGTCCCGAGAGCAGTGGGGGACATTGACTCCGAGTGGGCCTTGTTCCACTCTGCGATTGTTGAGGCGGCTGTTGCTAGCTGGTGGCAACCCCCGTACCCGCTGGTGGACACCAGAGGTTCGGGGAGCCGTCAGGCTGAAGAAGGAGGCCTACAGGGCGTGGCTGGTCTGTGGGTTTCCGGAGGCAGCAGACAGGTACCAGATAGCCAAGCGGGGTGCAACAGTGGCAGTTGCCGAGGCAAAATCTCGGGCATGGGAGGAGTTTGGTGAGGCCATGGAGAAAGACTATCGATCGGCTCCAAAGAGGTTCTGGCAAACTGTCCTGCGCCTCAGGAGAGGAAGGCAGCAACTCGCTCACACTGTTTACAGTGGGGATGGGGAGCTGCTGACGTCAACTGGGGCTATAGTCGGACAGTGGAAGGAATAAGGAATACTTTGAGGAGCTCCTCAATCCCACCTATGCGCATTCCGAGGGGGAACCAGAGCCGGGAGACCTGGGGATGGACTGTCCAAACTCGGGGGCAGAAGTTGCTGAGCTAGTCAAACAACTACACAGCGGCGGAGCCCCGGGGGCGGATGAGGTTCGTCCTGGGTATCGCAAGTCTATGGATGTTGTAGGGCCGTCATGGTTGACACGTCTCTGCAACATTGCGTGGTCATCGGGGGCAGTTCCTAGGGAGTGGCAGACCGGGGTGGTGGTCCCCATCTTTAAGAAGGGTGACCTGAGGGTGTGTTCCAACTATAGGGGATCACACTCCTCAGCCTCCCTGGAAAGGTCTACTCCAAGGTACTGGATAGGAGGGTCCGATCGATAGTTGAATCTCAGATTGAGGAGGAGCAATGTGGTTTTTGTCCTGGCCGTGGAACTGTGGACCAGCTCTATACCCTTGCAAGGGTGATGGAGGGGGCATGGGAGTTTGCACAACCAATCCACATGTGTTTTATGGCTTTGGAGAAGGCTTATGACCGTGTGCCCAGGGGCACCCTGTGGGGGACGCTCCAGGAGTATGGGGTGGGTGGCTTTCTGTTAAGGGCCATTCAGTCCCTTTACCAGAGGAGCGTGAGTTTGGTCCGCATAGCCGGTAGTAAGTCGGACCTGTTCCCAGTGAGGGTTGGACTCCGCCAGGGCTGCCCTTTGTCACCGGTTCTGTTCATCACCTTTATGGACAGAATTTCTAGGTGCAGCCGTGGTGTGGAGTGTGTCGAGTTTGCTGGCAGGAGAATCTCGTCTCTGCTTTTTGCGGATGATGTGGTCCTCCTAGCTTCATCCAGCTCTGACCTTCAGCTCTTGCTGGGTAGGTTCGCGGCTGAGTGTGAAGCGGCTGGGATGAGGATCAGCACCTCCAAATCTGAGACCATGGTTCTCGACCAGAAAAGGGTGGTTTGCCAACTCCGGGTCGGGGGAGAGGTCCTACCTCAAGTGGAGGAGTTTAAGAATCTTGGGGTCTTGTTCACGAGTGAGGGTAGGAGGGATCGGGAGATCGACAGGCGGATTGGTTCGGCGTCTGCAGTGATGCGGACGCTGAGCCGATCTGTCGTGGTGAAGAGGAAGCTGAGCCAGAAAGCCAGGCTCTCGATTTACCGGTCGATCTACGTCCCAATCCTCACCTATGGTCATGAGCTTTGGGTAATGACCGAAAGAACGAGATCACGGATACAAGCGGCTGAAATGAGTTTCCTCTGTAGGGTGGCCGGGCTCAGCCATAGAGATAGGGTGAGGAGCTCGGACATTCGGGAGGGACTCGGAGTAGAACCGCTGCTCCTCCGGATCGAAAGGAGCCAGTTGAGGTGGTTTGGGCATCTGGTCAGGATGCCTCCTGGACGCCTCCCCGGGGAGGTGTTTCGGGCATGTCCTGCCGGCAGGAGGCCCCCGGGTCGACCCATGACACGTTGGAGAGGTTACATCTCCAATCTGATCCGAGAACGCCTTGGGGTCCTGCCAGAGGAGCTGGTGGAGGTGGCCGGGGAGAGGACGGTCTGGAGCTCCCTTGTTGGGATGCTGCACCCGCGACCCGGACCCGGATAAGCGGAGGAAGACGACGACGACAACGTCTCCTTTAATTTAGTTATACTTCTGCTTCGCCTTCCTTCGGTCTGCTTTGCAGTTTCAGGATTTGAATCTGGGTTCATTGCAACTGCAGCGGCTTTAGTAAAATAAGAAATGTATTCCCTGCTCTCTTGCAATCATTCACAGGGCAGATCTGGCTACATCGTAGCTCATTACCACCAAGTGCCTAAGTATGCGTATAATGAAAACATGCATTTTTACAGAAAACATGATCTGCTTTGTTTTACATTAGTGAAATATTATGGAGTATAAACAATAACTGAGACATGACTGGAAATGTTAAATTTAGATTTTTCATGCAGATTTTTCAGATATAACATTTTCCATGTTTATATAATCCCATCCAACAACTGATTGTGTATCTGATTTGGAGTGATGATGATGATGATGATGTGTGTGTGTGTGTGTGTGTGTGTGTGTGTGTGTGTGTGTGTGTGTGTGTGTGTGTGTGTGTGTGTGTGCTGTACATTACCTGGTACAGATGATAGCAATGGCTACCAAAGAGACGATACACACTCCACCAACTAAAGAGCCTGCAATCAGAGACAGCTGCTGCCCGAGCTCAGACTTGTACTCATCTGCAGACAGACACACACACACACACACACACACACACACACACACACACACACACACACACACACACACACACACACACACACACACACACACACACACACACACACAAATATAAATTCTATTCAGCCAACAAATTACAAACATATGTTTTGAATCTTAAATATATTTTATTTTGTGACAGGCACCAACATCACTGAGCATTTCTGAAATATCTTCTATAAAATTGACAACGTCCACAAAGTCCTAATTTATATGGCTGTAAGCACAATGCTAAACAACTTCATTAACCTCCAACCAGATTCACGCTTTTGCAAAACACCATGAGTTCTTTCTCTCAACACCCGTTCTCCTCTCCACTAGAAACCCCCTCCACATACTTCAACAAGCCGCCCACACTCTTACCGTCCGTGAGAGTCTGGAAGAGCATCTCCTTGCTGTAGGCTCCATAGCCAGCCACGGTGCGGGCCCTCACCTGGACCACGTAGCCAGTTCCAGGCCTCAGACCCTCAAGGACCACATTAGGAGAATCACTCTGGACCACTGAGCTGTTCAGCCCTGATGACTGGGACTACAGAGGAGGTACAAACAGATATTTACACACGTGGTTAATGTTTTAAAGGTCAACTTACTCATATTTTTAATACATTTGCAGTGGTCCCTAGTAAGAATGAATGCCTTGTAAGTCATTCTCTGGGGAAAAAAGCTCAAGAGCTTCCGGTTTGAGGACTTCCACATTGCTTCTGATCGGCGAACTTCTTCTGTAGTGTCCTGGCTATCATCTCCAAAGATCACCAGAATCTTTTGTGATTCCCTTCTTCTGCAATCGCTCAAGAAGATCTAGCTTCCTATTTGCTTACGTGCGCAGCGGCATGCTAGTCCTGAGCGAAATGCTGATTCCAACCCGAACGCCTCCAGCATCAGAGGCAACCCTATTCGGTTCTGGTTCTGCTGGACCTGATTGCAGCCTTTGATGCTGTTGACTATCACCTGCTATAGGCCGAGAGACTGGGTAGGTCTATCACCTATCATCGCATAGGTCACCTTTGGTCTTTAGCCTGGTTGTGCAACGCACCAGGCTAAAGACCAAAGGTGACAGATCATTTGCTGCTGTGGCCCCCAGACTCTGGAACTCTCTCCCCCTGAGCCTGAGATCAGTGGACTCCTTTAAAACGCAGCTGGACTCATCTGGTCAAGCTGGCTTTTGTATGACCTTCTTCACCACTTTCTCTTTATTCTGCTCTCCCCACCTATTCCACCTTCCTCAGGATCCACTGATTTCCCCCTTTCCTATTAACTCTCTCTCTTTCTTAACATATTTTTTAATTACAATTGTCTATTTTTGCTCATTTTAAATATATTTTTAAACATTTTCTAAATGCTTTTTTATATTTTTACATTTTTTTGTTTTTGTGAAGCGCCTCGTGATTTTTATCTTGAGAGGCGCTATAGAAATTATATTTTTTTCTTCTTATCAGGAACTGCTCCGGAGTCATTTTCCTCTTATCTGTCTGAACTTTCCTTCTCTGTGGCCATCTCCAATTGTCAGTCCTCCACCACCTCCCTCACTTATGGTGTCCCACAAGGTTCTGTACTGGGGCCTCTGCATGGACATGCACCATCATACATTGGTGATCTTCTCAGTCCCTACAACCCCCAGCAGGTCCCTGAGGTCCAGTGATCAAAGCCTACTGGTTGTGCTGCATCAGGCTAAAGACCAAAGGTGACAGATCATTTGCTGCTGTGGCCCCCAGACTCTGGAACTCTCTCCCCCTGAGCCTGAGATCAGTGGACTCAGTGGACTCCTTTAAAAAGCAGCTGAACACGTGTTCAGGCTGGCTTTTGTCAGACCTTCATCATCACCTTCTCCTTATTCTGCTCTTTCTACCTATTCCACCTTTCCCGGGATCCTGATGTCCTTCTTTCTTTTTCCTACTCTCCCTTTTCTTACATATTTAATCACAATTTTTTTTATATAACTTTTTCCCGTTTTAATCATTTATTTAAATACTTTTTAAAAATCAGTTTTGCATTTTGAATCTTTTGGTCTTGTGAAGCGCCTCGTGATTTTTATCTTGAGAGGCGCTATATAAAGGATAATTTCTTTCTTTCTTTATTTCTACTAGTCGAGATTCAAATCAGCTGTGTTCATGATCTAAAACATGCAGGAAACATGTTGGAACCAAACTGCAGCGCCAGGTATGCCAGCTCTAAATCCCAACAGAGCAGCTCGCCAGTCTGAAGTTGCTAGTAGAATATTCACAGGGGCGATAGGGGCTGGGTGGCATTTCATTAACCCTGTAAAGGGTCATTTTAGCACATACCGGCTCAAGAAAATGATTTAAAAAATATAAAAAGTTGCAAAGTAAGGCTTTAAACTTAGAGTGACTCATTATTAAAAACAAAAAATAAAACAATAAGTAAAAAAATCATTTAACCTGTTTGTTAAAACTAAAATCACAGCAAGCCGGATCGTGTTAAACACATTTAAAATCCAGCTCCTTTTATGGATGAATTGGTGGAAGACTCTTCCTATTTAGGATTAGGGTAAAATATAGAAGACATTTTCATATATTATTGTAAAACTAATGCACAGAAGAAAAGGTGAAAAGCAAACATTTGGCTGCGCACACACTGAACAACAGCTGCTGCTTTTATTACCCTCAGTGGGTGGAGATGCTAAAACTGGTTTCCACTCTTAAACTGCAGGAATAAAAATAATTCAGAATGAAATTGAAAACACTCCAACAGCTTTTTCAGGCGTGCTGGATTTGATTTGGTGAGTTTTGAAGGATTTATCCTTTCATGGGCAAGAAAACAGATATGAGGCATATTGATGTTGTTCCCCTGAAATTTAATCCCACAGAGAACATTATGAGTTCATTTAACTATTATGTTTACCTCGCATCCATACAGAGACAAGAATAGGTATCAATCTCAGCAGCCACTACAAAAGAAAAGTTAAGAAAAATGACCACAAAAAAATAAAATAAAATAAAAACACAATCATTTACTGTTTATATTAAAATTCACATTTTCTAGGAATCACTCATAAAAATACCGTTTAATGAATCCTCATTTAAGTTATTTATGAATGCTTCCAAAATGACTTCCTATCTCTGGCTCCTTCAAAGGCAGATCGAAATCTGGGTGTTGTGATTGATGAACACCTGACCTTTAAAGATCATGTTGCCTCTGTTGCTCGTTCATGCCGCTTTACGCTCTATAACATACGAAAGATCAGACCATACCTAACACAACATGCCACCCAGCTCCTGGTGCAATCTACTGTCATCTCCCGCCTCGATTACTGCAATGCCCTTCTAACTGGTCTTCCAGCCTGGACTGTGAGACCTCTTCAAATGGTCCAGAACGCAGCGGTGCGTCTGGTCTTCAATCAGCCTAAAAGAGCACACGTCACCCCTCTGTTCATTGAGCTCCACTGGCTACCGCTAGCAGCACGCATCTAATTCTAATAGCTAACACTAGCATACAAAGTCCGAGATGGTACGGCTCCCATCTACCTGAATCCTCTTGCAAAGGCTTACGTCTCGGCCCGGCCGCTCCGGTCATCACAGGATCGTCGGCTAGCAGTGCCTACACCACGCTCAGGACAATCCAGACTCTTCTCATGCATCGTTCCACAAATGTGGAATGACCTTCCAAGCACTACCAGAACAGGGACTTCCTTTTCGACTTTCAATTTTCCTGAAGACCCTGCTCTTCAGAGAGCATCTTCTTAACTAGCACCCTCCCTGCACCCGTCCCCCCTCTCTACTGTCCACTCCTTGTTCCCTCCTCTCCATGATTGATGTCAAGTTGTTGTTGTTATTGTTGTTGTTAGCCTCAACGGCAACATGCCGATTATCACTTGTAAGTCGCTTTGGACAAAAGTGTCTGCTAAACACATAAACATAAACATGTTAAACCCCTAAATCTAGAGTTGCAGTGTCATTTGGAAAATGTTTTCTTTTACTCATCATAAACTTGTTTTATCCCGTTTTGTGTTTCAGACATATTTTTGTCATTTGCTTGTATAATAAAATGAGTCTCATGCATGATCCAATGTGTAGTAGAGGGTCTACACTGCTGGATCATGCATGAGACTGTGTCATCAGGCAACAGAGGGTGACATCGTTCTCTGCTGCCCATGGATAAACGAAGAAGGAAGTGATGTCGCCATTAGCGGCTAGCTCTGATGAAGACTGCAGGAGTGGTCGAAACTGTCAGCATGGTAAATAAACCTTTGCTGTGTCAAAAAATAACCTAAAAATGCAATCAGACGAAACACACCGAAAAAGATTTTTAATCACAATTTTTTTGTTTTCCCATTTTTTATGACAGCAATTTTTACATTTCTTTATTATTTTTCATTTTTTAGTTTTTGTGAAGCATCTCATGAGTTTTATCTTGAGAGGTGCTATACTGTATAAAAACACATTTCTTCTTCTAGTTAAAGAGCAAGACACCCCCAAATCAACTTTTTTTCTGATAAACTATATAAACGCTTGTCTAATCGTGCTGCAGACACGTGTATTCAATAAATTTGCACTTTAGTGCATTTTAGTTCAAATAAAAAATTTCTGCCTGGAACTGTCAGTGTTGTGACGTTGTCAGGTAGAAACTCTGCACTGCAATTTAATTTAAATCTGCCATTCCTATTGGCTAAGAGGTACCCTAGAACGTTAGCTGGTACCATATGATGTCACAATGTCGTTGTGAGCCTGTGTGTGTGTGTGTTTGTTAGGCAACAGCATTTATTGCATTTTTCTAACAGGAAGTGGGAGTGGAGTAATACTCTGGTAGGGGTGACTTGCTCTTTAAAGAGTAGAGTCTTACCCCATTCCCACTTCTTGTTTGAAAAATGCAATAAATGCTGTTGCCTGGCAGACAGAGAGGGCAGAGCCACTAACATATACACGTACACAGTCTCACATTATGACAACATAATGTACCAGCTAGCTTCATAGCGTACCTCTTAGCCAATAGGGTTAGGGTTAGCAGATTTAAATTCAAATGCAGTCAGAGTTTTTACCTGAAGATGGCACAACACTGACAGTTTTAGGCTGAATAGTTAAATGTGAACTAAGATGCACTAACGTGCTACATTTTTTACTACATGTGTCTACAACACGATTAGTCACTCATTTACATAGTTTATCAGCAAAAAATAAGTTGACTTGGGGGTGACTTGCTCTTTAAATAAAGAAGCATAAGGCGGCAAAACACCATTGTCCTTGGTGATTCTGTATGTCGTGGGCCAAACACCTGGTACCCAACATGACAAAAAGTTGTTGCTTTGTAACATAAAACCATAAAAATCAGGCCTAAAATACATGAGAGTGGGTCTAAGTCTCTGGACGATGCCATATTAGATGCCATGTCTCCTTATACGGGAACCCATGAGGACAAAACGCATTTACTGATTCGTAACAAACGGTTACAAAACTTTCGTCATTCTTAAACTTTGTATTTTCACAAATTTACCTCCTGTTGTTGCCAGTGATGACAGGGAGTCTGATGTTCTTGTTATTTTGCCAAAGTTTGCAATTGCTGGTTTTTTTTCTTCCC